TTAAATTATTAAATTATTAATTATTAATTATTAATTATTAATTATTATTATTATTTTGAATTAATATCAATAAAATTCATCAATAAAATTCATTTATTAACAATTCATTTATTACGTGTATATTACTACCTTATTTAATGGTGCTTCATTATTTGTCATATGATGCAAAACTATTAATGCTTCGTTAAGGTTACCATTTTTCAATAATGCTCCCATTAGAAATGTAAACATATAATTCCGTATTTCTTGTGGTGTCATTTTATAAAGTTGTCTATACTCTACATTATTAAGATCACGTTTTACTTGTGATGCTTTTCGTCCTTGTGCAAGTATAACTTCTTTCAACATTGTTATCATTGCAAATCTAGTCGTTAGAAATGCTCCAATACCTATCCCTATAATGGCTACTTTTCCTGATGATATTATAAGGTCAAGATCTTGTGTAAAAAATAAATATCCATATGCCATCCATTTGGCTCCAAACATTCCAATCGCTATATTTTTTATCCACTGAATCCAATTTGTTATATATGAGCTCTTAATTATAATTACTGTAGACTTATCAATCGTGGCAAATGCACGTCCAAGTTCCATTTTGTTGGCGCAGGCAATTAGTAATGTTTTATACGTATTAATATCTGGTTTTACTACTTGACTTGTCAACATACCATTATAAACCGCGTATGCTAAATCCGTTCGTTTAGCACTACCAAATACACTAATGTATGCGTTGTAAACTCTTGTAGTTTTATTGCTTGATGGTATCCTCTCAAAAATTTTAATGGCTACTTCCAAAACATCTTCAACTGTATAATTAGATTCCTCTGGAATTTCTATCCAATAATTTTTTAAATCTTCATTAATTGAACTTATTAAAATCATATCTTTATCATTAGATTTTATCGTTGTTCGTTTATGCTTATTTGTTTCGATTTCATCTATTAATCTAGTGCATGTTTTAAGTGCTGCGACTATACTATGTTGATGTGGTACATGGTACTTGTAAAAAAGTCGATTTACTAAATTCTTGAGTTGTGTTATATTATTACAATGTCTAAATTTCGTGTCAAAATTTTCTGTCGAGAATAAATTCTGTGATGAATTAATCGTTAATGAAGTTGGATATATTGTAATATTTTGCTTAAATATTTCATTATTACTATTATTATTATTATTAACACTTGGTGCCAAAACTTTGGTTGTTAACCTACGTTTAATTTGATCAATTGACTTCTTATTTTGAATAGTAATTTGTCGAATCATATTAAATTTTAAAAAAATTATTTGAGATTCTCGTAAAGTTAATAATTTTATCATCATAAAAATACGTAATAATAATAATAATAATAACTGATAATACTGTAATAATAATAATAGAATTAGTTAACGTTAAAAAAAAAAAAAAAAAGAATCGATTTATAATCTGTCAGTTATCGTTATTTTTTTTTATCAACAAAATAAGTTATCACATGATTAAATGTGATAACCTTTTACGTAACTTTTGAATTTCATCAATTATCGTTATCATTACAGCATTAACGTTAAATTAAACTCTTAAAAAATGAATAATGAAAAAGAAAATGAATCTCCTGGAGATCCAATGGATATAGATGTCGTGGTTGTTGTGGAAAATGTAGCCACTCCAGAAGTGCCTTCAGAAGTGCATTCTGAGGCACACTCCGAAGTACATTCTGAAGTACATTCTGAGGAAGTACATTCCGAAGTTCATTCTGAAGTACATTCAACTGATACACCGACGTCTGTAAAAATAAAAACGAAAAAATCAAAATGGGAGTCTGAAAGTGAAAACGAGATGCCAGAAAGTGAACGAAGAGTTAACAAAAAAAACCGTGCCGCGAAAAAAGTTTTAAAACCTACTGTCGATTCCGAGGCTGACGAGTTTGGCTCGCAACAAGAAAGTGCAACTGAAAGTGTAAAACGTTTAAAAGTTTCTGTTGAGGCTGCTGAATCTCCTTCAATAAAATCCGCTTCTTCTATCGCTGAATCTGTAAACGAAGTCACTGAAGTTTCTACTCCACCAGAAAATACTGTTTCGACTCCACAAACTGTGGTTGAACAAATGATTAAACCTGTACCCTCTTCAAAACCTCCTATGCTTACAGGTTGTCGTAGTGTTGATAATTATGAAAAATTGAATAGAATTGAGGAAGGCGCTTATGGTGTGGTTTTTCGTGCCAGAGATAAAGCTACTGGTGAAATTGTTGCCCTAAAAAAATTAAAATTAGATAAAGAAAAAAACGGTTTTCCTATCACTTCTTTACGAGAGGTGCATACCTTACTTTTGGCTAAACATCCAAACATTGTTAATGTTAGAGAAATTGTGGTTGGTGATGCATTAAAACAGTACGTTTAAAATATATCTTTTTATCTCTTTTATTATATATATATATATTATTTATATCTTAAATTATTTCATTATCTCTAGGATATTTATTGTAATGGATTTTATAGAGCACGATCTTAAAAGTTTAATGGAGGATATGCAAAGTCCTTTCTTACAATCTGAAGTCAAAACAATAATGCTTCAGCTTCTATCTGCTGTCGCAACGTTACATGACAACTGGATTATTCACCGTGATTTAAAAACTTCAAATCTATTATTAAATAATAGAGGTCAAATTAAAGTGGCTGATTTTGGTTTAGCTAGAAAGTATGGTAGTCCTTTAGGTCCAATGACTGAATTGGTTGTTACACTTTGGTATCGGTAATGTTCTTAATAATAGTCTTTTTTTGTATATTTAATTACTATTGAAATATTTAGTTATGTTAAATATTTCCTTTCAAATAAAATAGAGCTCCTGAGTTATTATTAGGTGCCAAAAAATATTCTACGGCTGTTGATATGTGGTCCGTTGGCTGCATATTAGGGGAATTGGTAAATAAAGAACCTTTATTACCAGGTCGAACAGAGATTGATCAACTAGATAAGGTAATTACAAATATATATATATATATATATATTTAAATAAACGCGTTTTTCGACTGGATTTCTAGATGTTTGTAATTAATGAATTTCTTATGTTTATAGATATTTAAATTATTAGGCATGCCCAATGAAAAAATATGGCCGGGTTTTTCAAAGTTACCACATGCTAAAAATATTCCTTATGTAAAACAATCGTAAGTTACTTGAATTATATTATGAATATAATTAATATTTTACAATATTATTAAATATTATTCTAATAAATTATATCGTTAAAGTCATAATTCGATACGAAGTCGGTTTCCATATTTGACTGAAAATGGTATTGACTTAATAGCAAGATTGTTAACATATGATCCGGCAAAACGAATTACTGCTGAAGAAGCTTTGAAACATCCATACTTTACGTATGAATTAACTTTATTACATAATTATTATTAAGTATAAAATAAAACTGTACTTAACAGTAAAATTACATTGTTAGTGAAAGTCCATTGCCTAAGGATCCAGAAATGTTTCCAACTTGGCCTTCAAAGGGTGGTGGTGAAAGGTATGAATATCCGATTCTTACTTATATTATTCTTTTATTTCATAAAATTTAATGTATATATATTTTCATAGACGTAAATCTTTTGTAAGTCCATCAGCTCCAAATGTTGCGCATGGAATCGGTGAATTGGATGAAGAGGATCAAGCATTTCTAGGATCTATTTTTGAGAATCAAGGTGGAAATGATTATGGTTTTCGACTCAAAGTTTAAAAATATAGATTTGTGGTCTATACACTCAGGTATGTTTGATATAGGTAGGTAGCATTTATGTAATTATTCCTAATAATTGTTAGTTTGTTTATCTTTCTAAGAATTCTCTTAATTATTTTATTTGAATTGGTATGTTGTTTTGAAAAATAAATAATTGTTAAAATCCGCTTTGAGCTACAATAAATTTATATGACACGGTTTACTTTTATTTAGTACTTATTGCAGAAAAGTGTATCAATATTTATTTAATTGTATAATTACAACTTAATTATAATAAAAGCTCATTTAAAATTGGGAATTCTCATTTAACTTAGCATTCAGGTACAATCTAATGTTAACATATCTGATATTAATTAATAAGAGATGTTGGTACGATCATTTAAAGATAGTGGAGTTCTAGAATAATCTACGTGTCGATTCTTCATTTTGTTTTTACTACCCGAGAAGTGTCTGTATTTACTGATTTAAAATGGATGAAAAAGATTAGACCTGAAGTTTACAAATTTAGCGTGGGACCCCCATGTAATAATTTTTTATATAGAACGTAATAAATGCTATTATAATGCCGGCTATGCTGGCATTTTGTCGTGCCGCCGACAAGTCATGTGAATTAAAATTAACATCCATCAAGTTATTTAAGTCACACAAATGTCATACACGTACGTACGTACGCACAAACGAACGTTTATTCCTTTGGTAAATATCAATGTCTCAAGCTTCGAGAGCATCAGTGATGTCGACAACAGATACACGCTTAGTAAAGCGTGTTTCTATCATCGATAGAAACTTAAACAAAACGAGGGGCCTGGAGGTAACAGACATTAGCTTTTTAAATTTTATTTGATCATATTCTTTTTATAGCTTTTCAACAGTATTTCTTTTTCCAACAATCCAGGTTGGAATAGGTGCTTTTGCGTTTCTTTTTTCAGAAATGTTACAGTATGCGCAAAAGCGCGTGCATGGAATTCAGGATCTCGAACGCAAGTAAATATAGATAACAAGCAAAAATTTTTAGGCACATTCATAGCAAGAACTTTTAATATGTTTTATTATCCTCTTGTCCATTTAAATCATTGTTGCGTAGACTGAATGATTTTGGCTATCGGGTAGGAACACGCTTGCTAGAATTAACTGTGTGGCGAGAAAAAAATAGTAAAAGAGAAACGCGAGTTTTGGGAATATTATATTTCATTCATACAACAGTCTGGAAAGCCCTTTTTGGCAAACAAGCGGATTCTTTGGAGAAGAGTACAGAGCATGAAGACGAATGTATAGCATATTTTTACATAATTTTTTATTTTCACTTATTTACACGTATTTAATTAATTATATGATTAATCAAATTATACCAGACATGATATCAGATAATGATCCGCTAATAAGCAAATATATTTCTGTGCCCAAGGAATTATCACAACTAAATTGTAACGCGTTTCTTGCTGGAATTGTTGAAGCAATTTTAGACGGTGCCCAATTTGTGAGTCATTTATCATTACTAACATTCTTGGATATTTAATGTTGTATTTTAACTACGTTTACAAATTCCAGCCATCTCGAGTGACCGCTCATTCTCTTCCTCAAGACGGTTTTCCGTTACGTACCACAATATTGATTCAATTGGATAAAGAAATTCTTCAAAGAGAAGAGCAGCTTAAATAAGTAGTGCTCAAGTTTATAAATAATTTATATGTAAATTATGTTTAAAAAATCAATTTAATTGTCTAGAGGTATGACAATTATACTCGTATAGATTATAAATGAAGTTTTAATATATTTTTGAATGTTTTATTTGATATATTATTATCTTTATTTTTTCTTCGAACCAATCGTAGCCCGTTTTCCTTTTCCTAAAAAGATATAACGTTGCAGTGGTTTTTTTATTAAATGACTTTATATAAAAATTTTAAATTATGTAATGTAAAACGGTCGAACCTTTCTTTGGAGCACCTTTTCCACGCTTCTTTCGTTTCGCAATTTCCTCTAAACGCTGCTTCTCTTGTTGATTTACTAGGTTAAATTCAGAAAACATGTCCGTGATTTCACGAACAGCTATTAATTGTTTTGGATACCAATTTGTAATCGTCGGTCCAATGAGTCGTTGTCGAAGAACTTTGTTGCCTGTTCGTACATTAGTTGGATTATAGACATTATCAAAAAGTTTAGCTCTAAGTTTAGCTAATGCATTTAAGACAGATTTAGCTGGCGGTGTTGTCGTCATTTTAATAGTCGCGCGTTCTATGATTACATGATTACCACCAGATAAAACCTCGACCTAAAAAATTTTGCCAATCAGATTTCAAGATCAGAGCCCCTAGCTGTCCTAAAAATTTTTTCCACCCCTTGTAATAACGACCAATCGAATTTCAGGATCAGGTGTAACGTGAAAATCGAGACGAAGCA